AATGTCCTATTTGAGGGAGATATGCATAGACTCAGCTATGACCAGACAGCTTTAAAGAGCTAAGGTTGACTTGATGGAGCCAATAAAGTCCTTTGGAAAAACTGCCTGATACCCTGCTTCCAGGGGTACCAGCAGCCTTCCGAGGTTAGTAAAGAAGGTCACTTCCTGGCAAATGCAGGAAACTCCGGCTATTTTGGGAATCCCAAGAAGAGAGGAATTCACCCAAACCTCTAGGTACTATAGGTGAAATCCGATGGCAAGTATTTAGCTTGGCTTCTTAGCTTGGGAGGCTATTAGAAGTTCAATCTGAAATTTCTTATGAAAAGTTCCAGGAAAACAGATTTAAAAAACAAGCAAACAAACAAAAACCTATATGGCCAATCACTATTTTGCTGCACTTAGGTAAATAATTAGGCCAAGTTTGTAACAAACATTTTACAAACAAATTATTTTACAGACAAATTAGTCCTAATTTGGCTATCTTTGGAAAAGAAGGTGATTTTAGAGAAATGATGTTTCAGTAACACACCATTGTGGATGTTAGATTTTAGTTCTGATTAACTGTTTGTGAGTGCTTATTGTTTGCCTATAAAACTGAGCTGGAGTCTCAATTCTGGTGTCCTCAAATATCTGGCCAAGACTCTCCACACTAGTATTTCCAATTTTCTCCCATTCTCTTGACTTGGAATCACTGAGAAATAAAACTGCTCTTTTTCTTAAAGCCCTGCAAACTGAAACTAGACAGCTTGAGGTTAAACTTCAGAGAGAAACCACCACAATGGCCCATGTTTAGGCCATCTTCATGCCTGTTGCTGTATAAACCACTCAAAGATCCCCCAGAGACCTACAGATAATTGAGCAAGTTTATTCCAGCCATCCTGATCTGATGGATCTGCCACTGGAAAATCCAGACTTTGAGATGTTTATGGACAAGAACAGTTCCATGGATCAAAGACCATTAAGAGCTGGATGACATGGTGACCCAGCAGCTATTGTCCCCTGCTGAGAACACCAGAAATCAAACTGATCGCCCAAGGGAACAACTGGGCAGATCAAGCTACCAAGTTGGCAGCCTCTACAAAGATCCAAAACCCTCTATAATGGCTTTAGTACCAGACATAGACTTAACTAAAGTATCAACCTCAATATTCCTTGGAGGGCCTAAAAAGAGCCAAGGAATGGGGATTAAAACACCATGCTGGCACAAGGGCCAGCTGGAAATATAATGAATCCTTATCCCAGAACATCTTATGGGAGAAATATTTAACTGTATTCCCCAAAGCACCCATAATGGGTGAGATGCTACTCTTCGATGGATCCCGAAGTATATTGCAGGTCCCACTCTTTAGAGAACTATTAAAAAAAAAAATGTGACATTTGTGCTAAAAACAATCCTAAGACCGGGCCCCTACCCATTCTAAAAGGTACACAACTCAGAGACCCCAAACCTGAAGAAGATTGGCAAGTAGATTTTACCAGGATATCAAAAACAACAGGTAATTTTTTGTATTTGCTAGCATTTATAGACAACTTTACAGATTGGGTTGAAGCTTTTCCTGTCCAGAGAAGGCCTCAGAAATTGTTAAAACACTTTCAGCAAGATCATCCAGAGTGACAGTGAGCTGGATTTGTGGCAGAAGTCACACAAGACGTGTCCACAGCCTTGGGCATTAATGGAAATTAAACTCCTTCCTGGAGACCCGAATAAACTGGAAAAACAGAATAAACATCAAAAAGAACCCTGCTTGGACCAGCAAGCCTCTGACGGACCTATAACTACTGTTTAGGAGAGCTGGTCCAAAGAAATCCATGGACAAGTACAACAAGCTACTTGGTTACAACAAATCTCCCCTAAGGCCCTAGATAAAATAGTATAAGAACTACAGACCAAAGTACAAAAATCCTGGTAAAAAAAAAAAATGTAGAACATTGGGTTTCAACTTGGAACTAAAGATTTCTAAATGAGTGAGGAAAGTTTCCATTCCTCTAATCCTGATCTTTGCCCCATTTTAGCAGGAAGTAACCAGAATGGTCATTATCCCAATTCCCTCAAGAATGAGCAATAATCAAAAGACACTGGTAACCAAAGGGTTAACAGGGCAGCTAAGCACAGCTGCAACTTCTACCCAGACCTTTTTCATTTGCCTTTAAATTTCCCTGACTGTCTCCTTCAGGGAGGTGGATCTGAGGCTTGCCCTCCTGTCTCCTCGTCCCGCCTTTGGCTGCCCCTAGAATCAACCCTTTCCTTGCATGTTCAATGTCTCAGTGATTGTCTTTGCTGTGCATCAGGCAGATGGACTTGGGTTAGGTTACAAAAGAAGCTATCCTATACTTGCACTGATTTGGTTTTTTATTTATTTATTTATTTATTTATTTATTTATTTATTTATTTATTTATTGCCTGGCACCTAGACTTCACAGTACATGATTACTACTTCTCAATCTCTTATCTTTCAATCAACAAATACTTTTATGTACCTGCCACGCACCAGTTCTTGACATCAGTGGCTATCAGGGGTCAATATTGCAAGCTCCTTGCTCTCATGTAGCTTAACCATGTTATCCACAAATGCAGAATTACAAACAGATTTAATATGGCTTGAGGAGCATAGGAAAAAGGCTTTCTGAAGAAGATAGACTTAAACCACAAAGAAGGAGGAAAACCAGAGGATGTGGTAAGTGGACAAAATGAGAAATAGTCGTGGGATTTTGCCACATGGAGGTTACTAATGACCTCACATAGAATGTTGTTGATGTTTTTAAAGTGGAAGCCAGACTGGAGTGTTCTAAGAGGGAGTGAGTGGGAGAATAAGTCATGTAGATAGCAGGAAAAAACAAAAACCCCACTTTCAGGAAGCTTGGTAGGGAAGAACAGAAGAACAGTAGCAAGAATGTTACCTGGATGGGGAGGGTCAGAGGACAAAATTAAAAACCTAGTAGCTTAGTTGTTTGTCATCTCTGGTCCCTACCCCCATATAATGAAATAGCCTATAATGAAAATAGCACATGGACAACATAGTTGCCCAGAGTGAGTGGTGCTTGGACAGGAACCAAAATTACACTCATATAGGAATATTCATTTGGTGAAACTTAATATCTGCAAAAAAGTGCTAATATAGAAAAACCATCCTTTGGACAAAGCAGTAGCTTTATGAAATATAATGTCTCTTTCATTTACAATGGAATTTACCTGTTTCAATTTAAAATATTTTTTAAAATAATTTCTAGACACACCAGACCATCATAATTAGCTAAACATTTTGTTTCAAATTTACTATCTCTTAATATCCAATTATATGAACAGATTGGCCTAATCTGTGCTAATGAGGTGTACTAGCATTCCACTTTGTGGATTATATAGACCCATGGCCTTTCACTGGTTGATTAAATTAAATATTTAAAGAGAATATTAATGCTTTCAAGCCAATAGCAGATTATTTCTGCTCTGGGACTCAGTACAGCTGCTCCTGAAATGCATAAGACAGGCATCTGCAACACAGTAAAATAAAATAATTTGAGGATAATATTGTACACATATATTCCCCTTGAAGCCATATTTACCACTACAGTTTTGGACACATCTATTTTCATTGACATCAGCAAGTCTAGCATTTACATTAATTGCACAAGAAAGCACATTACCATTTTAATTACAGGAAAAGATTAGTCTGCCCTGTGCTTAAATGGACACCTCTAATATTTGAAAAAGTAGACATGAAGGGGCGCCTGGGTGGCTCAGTCTGTTAAGTATCCGACTTGGGCTCAGGTCAAGATCTCAGGGTCCTGGGATTGAGCCCCATCCCCTCTGCACTCAGCTCAGCAAGGAGTCTGCTGTTCCCCCTCTTTCCCTATGCCCTCCCCCCTCTTTTTTTCTCTCTCAAATAAATAAATAAAATCTTAAAAAAAAAAGATATGAAATTAAGTAGCTAACATTACACCCACCCAGGGCAGGCATCCTTAACTAAAAGCCACAAAGAAAGCGCCCAATTCCAAGTGTTAAATAGATCAATTCACAGAAATACCTGGGGTATTTTCTCTGCTACTGTTTCTCTTGCCATTCTCGCCTCTGGCTACTATATATTTTTCTACAAAGAAAATATTTAGGAAACAGCATGTCTAATAAACTCAGAGGGAGCCACTGTTGATCAGATATGGAAACCACATTCTAAAAAAAAATGGAAGGAAGCCAATGTGCACACCCGATTGTGGTATGTGAGACCCACTGACTAGAAACAGATTTTAAAAGCTGTTCAAGTTCGTCAGCCTGGATGCTAATCTTTTTCCTCAAGAACTGAGCAGAAGAAAAATGCCAGGGTTATTTTGGAAGCACCGAATTACAAGATCTGGAATAAGCTGCTTCATCAGACAGGCAGCTAGAAAATCCTATTTGCAAAATAGCTCCCACTAGCTTCTTTTATGTCCGAAGTGAGACTCAATTTTGGCTAGAAAATGCACGCCTGTCAGCGGTAAGGAAGAGGAATGGTGGCTCCCTCCTCCCCCCATCAGAAACACCGTTGCCTGGATGAATGGACCGCGGGAGCGCAGTGTCTTCCACGCGCAGAACTGACCGGGTACAGTCGCTGTCTCCCAGTCCTAAAGAACAATCTCTTTGAGGCACCCGGGGAGAGTATCCCGACCAGCTGGTTTGAAGCGGGCAGCGGGGGCTGCACAGTGGCCGACTACCCCTCCGGGCACGAAGGTCAGTAAGGTAGCGAGGTTAAAGGCACAAAGGAGCGAGGTCTCCGGGCTCTGGGGCATGTCTAGGCGGTCCCCGGAGCCAGCCGAGGAGACGCTTGGGACGCAGGCAGAGCAGAAGGTGGGCAGAGCCCTCTCTCCCCGCTGCTTTTACCTGCCACAGCTGAAGCACGGCCACTGGCTCTTGCTGAGTCCGCGCCTCGCTCCCGACTGGACAGCAGCCTCCTCCTCCCCAGCCTGCGCTTGCAGTTGAGCCGGCGCTCTTCGGACAGGGTACTCTGGGGGCATCCCAGCGTCAAGGTCCCATGGCTGGGACTTCTCCGCGCCCCGCTGGGACGCCCCGGCAGTTTGTCGCGGCGCTCGCCTACGTGCTCCTGAGCTGCCCAGTGCTACGGGGACAGGTACCCTCGCCTGGGACTGAACCCCACCCTGCGCTCTACATGCCCACCTGGGGCGCTCTGGCCCGCGGTAGCCCCGACGGCCCCAGCGTCCTGATCGCCAACCCGGGACTCCGGGTTCCCGTGGGCCGCTCGCTTTGGCTCGATCCGCTCCGGGACCTGGTGATTCGAGTGCAGCCCGGGCACTGGTGCGAGGTGACGGTGCTGGACGCCCTGCCGCTGAGCCACGGTGCGCTCTCCCCCAGCCGCTTCCCCTGCGCCTTCGGGCCCCGCCAGGTCCAGTACACTCACTTCGGCTCCCGAAGCCCGGGACGCGCGCGGGTGCGGCTGCAGCTGCGCTACCACGCCCCGACTTACACGCTGGCACTGCCCTTCACGCTGGCTGTGGACGTGGTCTTCCCGCAGCCGGAGCTGGTGACGCGCAACAGGCCTTTGTTGGTGGAGAAGCCGCGGGGCTGGAGCCAAGCCATCGACAGGAGAGTGCTGGACTTCGCCTCCCTGGGGAACGGAGCCTCTACCGCCAGCAGGTGCCGGCTCACCCTTTTTCCTCCCCACGGCGGCCCACCGCCCAAGTATGGGCGTTTGGTGGACGCCATGGGGGCCCCTCTCCCCAGGGGCGAGAGCGTAGACTGTGAGGCTTTTGTCAGAGCTGGGGTGCGCTACCAGCATGCCGCCACCACCCCGTCGCCGAATCGGGACTATGTGTCCTTGATGGCGGAGCTGCTAGGGCCACAGGACAGAGGCCCTGGGTCAGAGGAGGTGCTGCTCCGCGAGCACTTCCAGCTGCTGGTGAGCATCCGCGATGGAGTAGAGAACACTGCACCTAGGCCCAGTTTTGTGGCCCTGATGATGATGGAGGTCAGTCAGTTCTTGCTAACAGCCCTGACCCCTGACTCGCTGGCTGCGGAGGACACGGAGTCTGACCCTGATGACCTGGTCTTCAACATTCTCAGTGCGCCCACAACCACGCCAGGGCACCAGGGATACCTGGTCAGCACTGACGACCCCCTGGGTCTTCCAGTCTCTTTCTTCACCCAGCGGGAGCTGCGGGAACTGAAAATTGCCTATCAGCCCCCGACAGAGAAGTTGGATTCAGAGCACCTCTTCCAGCTGGAGCTGGAGGTGGTGGACGGAGATGGCGCCGCCTCAGACCCCTTTGCCTTCATGGTGATAATGAAGCCCATGAACACCCTGGCCCCAGTGGCTGGATATAACCAGGGACTACTGCTATTTGAAGGTCAGTTACAGCCCCTGTCCAGCACCCACAGCCTTCGGATCAGTGACAACGATAACCGAGAGGAGGTGATAGTAACTGCAGTAAGGGGCTTGAGACACGGGCAGCTGGTGGTGCTTGGGGCACCCGCTGGGCGCGAGCATTTCACGCCAGAGGACCTGGCAGCAGGGCGAGTGGTGTACCAGCATGATGGCAGCAACACCTACAGTGACAATATCATTTTCCGGATGGAGGATGGGCACCACCAGGTGGAATTCCTCTTCCCTGTCACCATCATACCTGTTGATGATGAACCACCGAAGGTCAAGGCCAACACCGGGCTCTCAGTTACAGAAGGACAGGTGGTCCAGATTTCCCCCTTTGTCCTGAGTGCTACTGATATTGACTCTGATGACTCAACCATCCATTTTGTGCTGCAGGACCAGCCTCTAGAAGACAAAAAGGAAGAAGGAGGGTGGGATCTGGTCCCTGGTTCCTCTTACTCAGCTCAGCACCTGGGAGAGATGCTGCTGCGGCAGGCTGAACCACCCCTGACCCCGGAAGATGAAGATTGGTATTATGTGGAAAAAGAAGGGCTTTATGAGAAGGTGGTGACTGAGTGGCTTCAGCAAGACATCATGGAAGGGAAACTCTTCTACCGCCATCTTGGACCCCATAGCCCTCAACCTGTCATGGTCCAGCTGACTTTCCATGTACAGGATGACCATGACCCACCCAATCTATCCAACCAGCACTTCTTCACCATCAAGGTCCAACCAGTGGATCTGCAGAGTCCAGAACTATTTCCAGGAACTACCTTAGAAATGACCGTGCACCAGTACCAACTCACTCACTTCCAGAAGAAATTCCTCCAATATATTGACCAGGACTCAGATGACCAGAACCTGTGGTACACCTTACTGACACCCCCAACTGACACAGATGACAACCACCGAGTCCGGGCTGGAGAAATTGTGCTCACTGATTCGCCAGATACGCCCATCATGCGCTTCACCCAGGCCCAGGTAAATCTCCAAAAAGTTGCCTACCAGCCCCCACAGAAGAAACTGGGTATTGTACCACGGGTTGTGCAGTTCACCTACCAAGTGGAGGATGCTGCAGGCAACAGTGTACCTGGCATATTCACATTATTCCTGAAGCCTGTGGACAACCAGCCTCCAGAAGTCACCAACAGAGGCTTTACTGTCTTAGAGGGAGGAAATTTTATCCTCAGCAGTAATGAACTGGATGTCATAGACCCTGACACAGATGTTGACCAGATTGTCTTCATGTTAGTCTGGGGTCCCCAACATGGACACCTGCACTACTTAAATAAACATATGGTTCCAGGGGAACTTTTCATGCAAGCTGACATTATTAATGGGAGTGTCTCTTACCAGCACAGCAGAGACCAGATTACCAATGACACCTTCCATCTGGAGGTAAGTGACAGGGTGCACCACATACCCATCACCGTCCAGATTTCCGTGCATCCCACTACTGACAAAACTCCCAGGATCTCTATTACAGGTAGTCCATTATTAGATGTTTCCTTAGATGTACTAGAGAGCAGAGTCACTGAGATCACCATGGGCATCATACATGGCAAAAAGAAGGGCGCAGGTGACTTGATGCTGTCTTTCATTATGGAGGATAGCCCAAAATTGGGTACTCTTCTAGTGAATGGCTTACCTGCAGAACGATTCACCCAAGAGGACCTCATCAGTGGGACAGTAGTCTACGTCCACACTGGGGGTGAAGTTGGTTTCCAGAAACAACATGATACCTTCAGCCTCACCCTCTCCAAGGATTCTTATCCATGGGTGGTGGGAGACAGCATAGTGGAGAGAGTGCAGGTGCAAGTGGTTGTGCTGCCTGTGGACAATGTGGCACCCACAGTCTTGGTGGGTGAGTTCTATATTGTTGATGAAGGCGGGAAGAGTCCCTTGACCTTACGACATCTCAATATTGAAGATGTGGACACACCCCAAGATGAAATCCTATGCACAGTTACTGGCCAGCCAGCCTCTGGCTACCTGGAAAACATTGCACCAGCTCCCGGCTCAAAAGAATCACAGGCTGGTAGTCCCATCAGTGCTTTCTCCATCAGAGATGTCCAAGCGAGGCATATCAATTATGTACAGAGTATTCACAAGGGGCTAGAGCCACAAAAAGATCAATTCACCTTTCATTGTTCTGATGGCATCAACTTCTCCCCAGATGTCTTCTTCCCTATAATCATTTTACCCACCAATGATGAGCAGCCTGAAATTTTTGCCGGTGAGTTTGTGGTATTAGAGGGGATGAGCCTGGTCATAGACACCCCACTGCTCAATGGAGCAGATGCTGACTTGCCACCAAATGAGCTTCACTTTCAGCTCACAGCCCTCCCTCAGCATGGCCGAATCGTACAGCAGCTGGCCACAGGCAGCCAGCCCATCCACAGCTTCACCTTACAGGAGATCCAGGAGGCCTCCACTATTGTGTATGAACATGATGACTCTGAAACCACAGAGGATAGTTTTGAGGTCTGGCTGAGTGATGGCAAGCACACCACCCACAGGAAGGTACCCATTATGGTGATCCTGGTGGATGATGAAACCCCTCGACTGACCACCAATGATGGGCTGGAGGTAGAGACTGGACACACCAAGGTCATCACAAATTGGGTCCTTAAGGCCACAGATCTTGACTCCGATGAAAAGAGCCTCAGTTTTGTTCTCCGTTCAGGGCCTCAACAGGGGCTTCTACAGCGGCTGAGAAAACCCAGAGGGGAAGTGAGAAATAACCTCACCCTAGGAATGAACTTCACCCAGGATGAGATTGACAGAAGCCTCATCTGTTACACCCACACAGGCCAAGATGGAGTCCTTGACATTATCAAGTTTGATGTGACTGATGGGATTAACCCTTTGATAGACCGCTACTTCTACATCACTATTGACAGCTTAGACAGGGTCTTCCCTGAGGTGGTTAGCAAAGGGCTTACCCTGACAGAAGGTGGCAGAGTGACCCTTACCACCAATCTGCTTAGCACCAGTGACATCAACAGCCCTAATGAACAGCTTCACTTCAGGATCACACGGGCTCCTAGCATGGGACACTTAGAGAGCTCTGACCACCCTGGGAAGCCCATTGCCTCTTTCACTCAGCTTCAGTTGGCTAGCAACAAAATATTCTATGTCCACACTTCAGATGATGAGATAAAGACAGACAGCTTTGAGTTTCACGTGACTGATGCACTCAACCCTGTGTTCCAAACCTTCAGGATCTTCATCACAGATGTGGATGATAAGAAACCTATCTTGACCATCCATAAACTAATACTGCAGGAAGGGGAAAGCAAACACATCACTCCCTTTGAGTTGACAGTGGAAGACAAGGATACTCCAGATGATCTTCTCCTCTTTACTGTCACCCAGCTCCCCATCCATGGTAGGATTTTGTACAATGGCAGTCATTCTGTGACCACCTTCACCAAGCGGGACCTGAATGATAACCTGATTAGCTACTGGCACGATGGCAGTGAGACGACTGAGGACAGTTTCTCCTTGACTGTGACAGATGGCACTCATGCTGATTTCTATGTCTTCCCAGACACTGTCCTAGAGACACACAAACCTCAGGTAATGAGGATCCACATAAGTTCTCTAGACAACAGGTTCCCCCAGATTGCCACTAACAGAGGTGCATCAGCCTTGAAGCGCCTTCACACTGGACACATGAGCTTCCTGATTACCAACAGGTCTCTGAGGGCAGAGGATTGAGATGGTTTCCATGGGCTCCTGAAGTATAAAGTGACCAGAGGACCAGAGCATGGCTTCATTATCAACACTGGCCTTGGAAACCAGAGCACGCAAGTGTTTATGCAAGGTTAGTAATGATATCCCCAATACCTCAGTCCCTCTCCATGAGCAGATCAGGTCTCCCACTTCTGAATAAAATTTTCCCAACCTCAGCCCATTGACAGACAGATTTTGATTCTAATGAAATACGGTGGAATATGAGATTATTCTGATAACAAAAAAGGGCAACTAGTCCTTTTCTAGCCATTTCATCAGGATGCCCATTTAACAGGAACTCTCGGACATCCAGTAAGGCTGGTAGTTATGCCCTAAAATTGCAGAATGCAGGTGGACAGTTTCTGTTTCTGAAATATCATCGTAAGATATGATTATATTAATTTTGATATTATCAGTTTAATTTCAGAGAATGACATACCTAGGAATTGTTTTCATAGTTTATCAGTAAATTTAGATTTCTGAAGATGATATTTTGTACTTAGATTTTGGAGATAAATATTACACTGCACATTTTATTGTACTATTCAAATGTAACTTCTGCATCTAAAAAAAAAAAGCATAGAACTAAATTTTCCTAAGTTTGTGGAGGGATATGTTTTAAAGATCTTTTTAAAAATACATTTGTCATTATTACTAATGGTGAACTTGAGGCAGGTTCCTCTGTTTTCCCAGGTAAAGTGACACCTGCTGTCTGTGGCAGCTCTTTACATTGTCTTAAAACTTTTTCATGTAATCTAAAACTAATGATGTAATGTATGGGGATTAACATAAGAATAAAAAAAAAATAAAAATAAAAAAAATTTAAAAAAAAACTTTTTCATGTAGCTTTACGCATGAAATGTGAAGAGATACATGGAATTTTTCTATATGCGATACAGATATACCTAAATGCAATCTTAGAGTAAAACTTATGAAGGGTGTTTAAAAAATAGTTTGGTTACGTTTTCAGAATCGCTTCTAAAGCCAGTGAAATCATGTGGTTTTATAAGAATTATCTTTCTAAATAAATACCCCCAAAATGCAAATTGTCTTTAATATACTAATAATTATCAATACAAAAAACACAATTACAGACCAGGTGACAAATTCTCAAAAATCCAAGAGAATAGGCAATAAAAGATCATTTTATTCCCATTTTCTTTTTTCTTAGAATGCAGCAGTTATTCTTGTTTAAATTCATTTTGACTAATAGTTAATGAATAACCACCATCATGCCAAGCTCCAGGCTTGTGCAGAAGACCTAAACCAGATAGACTCAATTTTCCATAGAGGATGTTGTAAAACATGCATCACTAGAATGTCTTTCTTGTTGGGGATGATCCTACAGATCATACACACAGCACGGTAACAAAATTTTAAATAATGTTCTATTTTTCCCAGTGTAACTTTAAGAAAAAATTAGATTCATGTTCACTTAATCATTTTTTTAAAAGTTAGATTTGTAGGCATTTAATTATTTTAAAATTTCTTTATTGTAGTATTTCCATGCCTTAACCCATTGAAGTTCCTAACATACTCATTTTCTATTGTGCCAATATGATGAGTGATACTTGCTCTTTTATTAGCTGACATTGATGAAAGGAGGATCTGTTACGTCTTGAATGAAGGCAGCAAAGAAACAAAGGATATCTTCTACTTCTCTGTTGAAGACAATGGTAAGTCAGCATTAAAAGGGAGTCTTGGTTATTTAAAATCAATATGAAACTGAAAAAAATTAAATTATTTACACAGTAATCACGATCGGTGTATGTCAGAGTACCAACAAATGAATTCTTTTTGCTCTATTTGCAGTCCTATGCCAAATGATTCTTGACAAATCACTGTTTTGGAAGGGGAAGCAATGAGGAATTTCAGTAATGAGATATGAAGTTTTTTACCTGACCTAGATTATGTGTGACATCCTATAGGCAAGTCAATCTCTTCCGGTGGTTCTGAGAATCTGACTGGTGGTTTCTGTCATTCTGGAACAAATTAGAAAGTCCACCTTTAGATTTTGTGAGGATTTTCAGCCCCAGAACTGAATCTTAGTGGCTCCTTGATCTCCAAATTGTAATCTTCCTGGATGCGGTGAAAAATAGGTTGACCAGCATAGAGGAAAACTTGCTCTAAAAATTGCCTGCGTACGCTGCACCTGTATCTGTTTACTCTGTCCTCAAAGTAGCATAATGGGAAGCGACGAGCTAATGGAAGGTGCTCTACTCAGCTAGGAATGGGCTGATTGTGTTGTCAAAGAAAAATTATTTTGCAGTATGACAGAATAATTGCAAAACTTATGTCCGTGTGCTGCTTGCCACTCGATAACCTTTCAGTATAAATCATTACTCATTCCTAGTAAGTAACATGCCAATCGTGTTCCAGTTTTCTTCCTCAATTGTGTGCCATCATTCAGGACTGTTTTGGAAAACAGTCTTATATGAAGGCTGTGTAGTATACTGAGTTTGAATCCCAGCCCACCGTATGTGACCTTCAAAAAAGTAACCTGGTCTTCTCTGTGACTGATTTCACTCATGTATAAAATGGTGGTCTTCATACCACTTCCAAAGGGCTGCCAAGAGGATTAAGTGAGATAATATATGTAAAGCATTTGGCACAAAGTAGATGCCCATTAATAATGAGTCACCCCTCTCCACCTCTGATGAGACAAACTACACTGGAAACCACTGACACCTCCTCTCTATCTTCTCACTTAAAGTTTAAAATCTGATCTTTCCTTCATTCTCCAAGTTCCCAAGGACCAAAGTCACTAAAAAGATGAAGATACATTTAAGCCTTCCAAACTGACTCACTAACGTAAAGCACATGTGAGATTCAAATAGTTTATAGTGACTATTTTTCTTTCTGTTTTCTAGAAGGATGATATTCTAAAAAGATGTGTATCTGACTTGGACACTATACTTTCTGGGCGACATCAGAAACAAGAGTCAGTCTGTGATGATAAATGTGAATTTTATATTGCTACCATTCTTGAGTACTTTCTGTGGACCAGGCAATGCTTACATACATTATGACTTCTGATCCTCACTGTAAAATAAGAGGTAAACATTATGATGCCCATTTTAAAATGAAGGCACCAAGGTTGACTAACTGGACTGAAGTCATACAGGTAATAAGCAGGTGAACTGAAATCAAACCCAGATATTGCAGATTCCAAAGCTAAGGTTCTTAAGCACGATTGCTACACTACCTCTGTTCATTAAGCCAAAACCATGGACAAAAGTTAGGGAATAAGGCAAAGCCAGCACTTTCTCACCTCACAAAGAAGCCCCTAGTAAATTAAAGTGATAATAATAACCAAACATGGACTCCAAAATATTTGAGGACACATTTGCTCATAGTTGGATGTCCATACGCTGATTCAATATTTATGCAGTTATTTGTTCCCTGGATTTTTTTGTTGTTTTCTGAGTATCCTGCACAGAGCCGTATCTGCCCATTTTGACCATTCTTGGGAGAGCTCACAACTGTTGAATTACTCGCTTAAACATTTTCGTGTCAGGTATTTTCAAATTTTATGAATTTATTTTTCTACAAGAGCCAACTTGAACTTTTCTTTTAAAATATCCCAGTTGTGGGGGGCTGGGGGGCGGGCGCCTGGGTGGCTCAGTTGGTTAAGTGTCTGCCTTCAGCTCAGGTCATGATCCAGGATCCTGGGTCCGAGCCCCACCTCAAGCTCCCCACTTGGCGGAGAGCCTGCTTCTCCCTCTCCCTCTCCCTCCACCTGCTGCTATCCCTGCTGTGCTGTCTCACTCTCTGTGTCAAATAAATAAATAAAATCTTTAAAAATATATATTAAAAAATAATAAAAAATAAAATATCCCAATTTTTAGAATATTTCCCAAATGGAATGTTGAATAAATTTACAATTTATTAATATTTTTATCTTGACAGCATACAGCACTAGCAGAAAGTCCTGCTTCCAGTTATTTAAGCTTTTGGAATTGGATACACTTCTAAGGATGCATTTTTTACCAATGGGCTGAAGTAGAATTTGTTGTTGGTGTTGTTGGTGGTGGTGGTACCAACTTTCGAGGCATTAAAAGAAGACTGTGCCCTACCGCTAGGACTATGTATTAGGCACATCCTCAGATGAGCTCAGGGGTCTTAAAGGTGGACGTATCAGCAATATGACTCCAGAGCTGCAATTTATTAGAACCCCAAGCTTGATAGCAGGAAGGTTTCCAATCCATAGGCTCTGAAACCAGGTTGACTGCACTCAAACTCCAGCGCCACCGTTTCGTGGTTGTGTATCTTTGAGAAACTGTGCTTTAGTTTGCTCCTCTGTAAATTGGAGATGATTATAGTGTATATCTCATAGGATTATTATGAGGATTTCATTGGTTTCCCATTGCTGCTACAATGAATTACCACAAATTTAGTGGCTTAAAACAACCCAGAATGACAAGTCTGTCGTTCAGAAGTCCAAAGTGGTTCTTACTGGGCTAACATCAAGGTTTGGGCAAGGCTCCCTTCCTTTCTGAAGTCTCTAGGGGAGAACCCATGTCCTTGCCCTTTCTAGCTTCTAGGAACTGTCCCATTCTTCCATATTCAAAGCCAGAAGTGTCCAGTCTTTCTCGTGTTGTTTCACTCTGGCCCCGACTCTCCTGCCTCCCTCTTTCCCTACAAGAATCCCTGTGATTACATCGGGCTCACCTGGATAATCCAGGATACTGTCCCCATCTCAGAAACTTTAATCACACCTGCAGAGACCCTTTTTCCATGTGATACATACACAGGTTCTGGGAATGAAGATATGGACATCATCCTAAGTACCGCAAGCATTAAAGAAACAACATGCACGAGGCACTGAAGAGAGCCTGGCACAAAGCAAGCACACGATAGAATTATCAGCTGAGATACCAAGTGTTGTATTTCTCTTTTTTCAGGTAAAAAGAAAAGTAACAATTTATTCCTGAAAATCTATAGTTAGATCAGTTGATTATATAAAAATTTCAACTTTTTTTTTTAAGATTTTATTTATTTATTTGACAGACAGTACAAGCAGGGGAGCGGCGGGTAGAGGGAGAAGCAGGCTCCCCTCTGAGCTGAGCAGGGAGCCCAACGTGGGGCTCGATTCCCGGATGCCGGGGATCATGACCGTAGGCAGACGCTTAACCTACTGAGCCACCCAGGAACCCCCCAAAATTCAACTTTTAAACTATTATGGTGAATTATCTTATTGGGGTACTGCCTGGAACTCTTGGCTTCTCATCGTTTTCTCTGCCCACTTATAAACTGATTTCATATTTATTAGAAACCCACTAAGAAAAAAAAAAGTCCACTAAGGAGACAAAGGAAGAAGAGGAAGTAACTCAGACCCACTGTTCTAGGCTTTGCCACTGCACGCTGAGCCAGGGCGCACAGGAATACCTTGCCTATCCGCATCCCGTTTCCTGTAGCAATTGTGCCTTTTTCTTTTTGCTCTGCTATAGTTAAATGAAGTAACATATGCCAAAAATATAATAGGATACCCACCATCCATCAATTCCCCAATAAATACGAGTTTTCTTTTCTTCTTTCCTCTCCAATAGTTACGCACACACCTATATTTGTGTACACGGCTGAACTGGGAATTCAAAAGGAAATCGTTTACAATGTACCTAGTTTGTGTGTTCCATCTGTTTCTGCATCATCAATTTTGAGTAACTCAGACTAAGGCCATTGCCGTCTCTTTTCCAACATTGGTGGTAAATTTCATTACGTTCAAGTTTATCGTGAAAGCCACTGGTAGAATAGGGAATGCATTTTAGATTTCTAAAGCTCTGAACTGTACCAATTAAGCATACTGTCAAGTTCATCCATCTTCCTCTCTGTAAGTCATTATACTCATAGATTTGTCTTGAAATTTTGCGTATCTCTACTATATGTAATGCCGAATGGATCTGTTCTACTTGCCATATAATAACATAACCTTAAATTTATATAGCACTTAATATTTCTACAAAGTGTTTTTATAGATGTTATTCCAATTGACCTTTACTATAACTTGTAAGACAGAAATTATCATCTCAGATTTTAAGATGAAGAAGTGGGCTTGAAGAATTAAAATGATCCACACAAAGGAACCATCAGAAACATTAAGTCAATACTTTCTAATAAGCCACACTAAATGATTATATGGGAGTGAGACAATTTTAGTTTGGGGATGTGTTACAGATATTTCACATTCTCCTTAAGACCTGAAACAAATTGTTTTATTTCCTCTTAAATTATTCAGTGTCTAAAACCAATCTGATTAACACTATGAATTTTGATATTTGATTTTTTTTTTAATTTAACCTGATACATGCCTCATGGTCCCTATGAGTACCAGTTTTCCTTGTAGGTGAAGTGTCTCTTTTTTTTAAAGATTTTATTTATTTATTTGAGAGAGAGAATGAGAGAGGGAGAGAGAGAGAGA